TATTGATTTCTTTTGAATCAAACATCTGTGCTATTTTGTAAAAACAAAAACTTGCTTTATTTAACATTGCATACCTCATAGCTGTTGGCTATGCTATACACTGGCAAAGAGAGCAACGCTTTCCCCCTTATCTCTAAAGACAGCTATTCAAATTCTCCATACATCCTGCTACACTTATGAATTTCAGAAAGAAAACTCTTTCCTTGTTTGTATATTACCTTTTGATTATGCTATTTTGTGTATATTTTCTGTATACTCTTATAGATAATCATGCAAGGCTTTGCCTCGGGGAAAGAGGGAGGTGTATTTGGCTCATGTGTTCTTTTATAGAATGATTTTTTCCAACTTAGGTCTCATGATTTTTAGGTTGAAAAATAAAACACATGCTGCTATTTATTTAGCTACAAAAATGCACTTTAGACATGTTTCGCTGACATACAAACTTTCATAACAAAGTGAATTCAGTGATTATCTTATCAGAATTCATATTGGAAAGTGAGTTGTGTTGAATTTCATATTCTATATGCATATCAATTTTCTGGCGTCTGACAAATGACTTAGGATAAAAAGCACTAAAAATACGAAGTGTATGATATGAAAAGACATTTTTTTGTTTTATATTGCAACTGTATTATATAAATTAGAAAAACATTGTAGGGTATTTTATTAAGTGGAACTACCGGTTAATAAACATATATACATATATATAATGTATCTTTGTGAACAATTTGAAAAATATAACTAGCAAATACATTTAAGATATATTTTGCATCACCTTGTGTTTCTAAATTTATAATAAGAACATACCCTGTTTACTTTGCATAGATTTTAATTTCCTTTGAAAATGGTTTTTAGCACACATGGGAATAAATTTCTTGGCCTCAAATGAGATAATATTTGTAAAGTGTTTAGCACAGGACCTGGCACATAGTAGTTGCTATTTAAATGCTTATTTCCTCCCCTTACACTCCTCAGAACTGGAAGGGCTTCTGAGAATACTTAATCCATCCTGAATACTAAAACAGGAATTCCTTATACAATCCTTGATAAATAGTCATCTGACTCCTCTCCTAGAAGACTTTTAGTCTTGGGGGATTTACTGCTTTATGAGATAGCCCATTTTACTTTTGGATAGCCCTCAATGTGAGGAAATTTTTCATTATATTGACCTGAAGATTATCAGGGTAAAATCATGTTTTAATAAATACCAAGGAGACTATTCATTTTGTTATAATGGAATTTTTGTCCTATTGAATTTTGTTTGGGCCTTGATAATTTTTGTTATATAGAAATTTTCATTGGTGGTATTTATTGTAACACAGGCCTTGGGCTCAGGAGACCAGGTCATGCTTACTAGTTATGATTCTGGACAAATCACTTAGCTTATTAGAAAGGTTTTTGAAATTACTAGAAATTGTTTAACTCTGTACCTCAATTTCTTTATCTGTAAGATGGGGATAACACTTGTACTGCTATTTCTGCCTATTTTATTACCTTTGGTAATCCATGATGAAGCAATCCTCTTTTTCCTTATTTGTAAAATGCAGAATTTAATGGTACCATCTTATGATCCTACCTGCTTCAGAGTGCTTTTTTGAGGGAAATGCTTGGTAAACCTTGGAAATGTAAATTATCAATAGGATTTACCATTGTAACATTGAAACACATCCAGTGAGTGATGGTTGCCAAAAGGGATAAGTAACCTTTGCACCACAATGCTTCTTTCAATTTGCATTGCACTTGCCTGTACAGGATGTTTTTGTGAATTTTTGGAAGAAGCCTCTAGTTTTCTTTGCTGCTGCTGCTTTCCTGCTGCTTTTCCATTTTCACAGCAGAATTTAAAACTTAGAAAAGATTGACTCTATTAATTGTTATAGCAAATTAAACTTGGTACTAAACCTGACTGCTAGTCATACCTCTTGAGTTAGACGCAGAGGGTAGCTTGTCTGTGACTTTGTAAAGGCTCAAGGAGAGCAGGCTCACATTCCTTCTTCTGGTAAGAGGCCAGGAAAGGGCTCCTGGATGTTAAGTGTGCAGAAAAGGTGGTCCAGGGCAACAAAAGGCCTAACATTATCCTTTGTGTGGGAAAGTCAACAAGTCATATTATTATTCATCTGTGAAGGGTAATATTTGGTCTTTTTGTGTCAGTAGGCCACTTCAGTTGAAATATTGAAGCAGTAGTGCAAGTTTTCCCATTTTATAAATGAAGAAAGTGAAACTTGGAGCTGTGATTGGCACCGGAAGTGTCCTAATCTTGGACTATATTTTAGTGGATGGAGTCTGACAAAAATCATATTACAACTAGCTCTTGGGTTAGTGATACCATCTGAGAATAGTTGTGGTACTCATAATCCAAAAGTCTTATTTCTGCCTTTTTCTTGTTTGTTCCAGGCTGATGATAAAAGAATGCAAATAAGTTTTAAGTTAATCCTGGTTAGAAGACAGGAAGTGACTAGAGCCGTGAAATAAGTGGCTATTACATTAGCAATGGTTTTTCCACGGATAATCCAAACACTTGTAATTCAGTGTGCATAATAATTTCTTGAATCAAATAAACTAGCTTTCTAAGAAAATGGGGACATTTATTGAAAGAAAGTACTCCAGCAAAGAGAAGTAAAACAAAATTTGGGGGGGGGGTAGCGTTCAGCTGCCTCAATTGCTTTTGCACTCTGAGCTTTGTAATTTCCTCACCCTACCCCCCAACAATTGCTCTTTGAGCCTTGCATTTTAATCAACCACCTGAAAGTTGCTGCTGAAAGATTTAAGTTCACCTCCCTTTGACAGTACACATGTGATGGAGGCAAGTCCCTTAGTATTTTTGTGTCTATAGCAGTTTTATGACTGTTGCAGAGCAAATAAGTGATCTGAATTTTAGAGGGAGTTTCTTCATGGGGCAATCCCTATGTGGATGAAATCACAGATCCTGTCCAAAAGTGTCAAGCAGTATGCCTAGCTAGGTACTGGAGATATAGAGATAGGAGCATACATTTTATCATAGGCATACATGTTCAGATTATAGGATTGTAGCAGTGGAACTGCAACGGAACTTAAGCGGTCATCTAGTCTTAAACCTGTTTTATAACAGCTGGCATCTCTAGCATTTTCAGGCATGCCAAGGGCTTTACATAGTTTTTCTTATTTGATCCTGATAATAACCCAGGGAAGTAGGTCAGATGAGGAAAACAGGTTGAGAGGAGTGCCTTTAACTGCAGAGCTGGGATTCCCACACAGAGAACCCAAGGCCTTCTGACTTTGAGGCCAGAATTCTTTCTACCATGCCACTCTGTCTCTCTAAGCAGAATCCCTTAAGTGCTGTGGTCCCAGAGCCCACACCCAGAGCCACTTTCTCTAGCAGCTTTCTTTGTTTACTTGGTCAGTCACAACTATTCAGTCATTTTTTTTCAGTTGTGTCTGACTCTTTGTGACCCCATTTGAGGTCTTCTTGGCCCATTTCCTTCTCCAGCTCATTTTACAGATGGGGAAATTGAAGCAAACAGAATTAATGATTTGCCCAGGGTCACACAGCTAGTAAGTGTCTGAGGCGAGATTTGAACTCTAGTCTTCAGGACTCCAGGTCTGGCACTCTATCCACTGGACCACTTAGCTGCCTAAATTCAATTCACTTGCATGTCATGGTCTCACTTCCCTGATGTACCGGTCCTCTTTGAGAATGAAGTACAAACAACTACCACTTCTGAGTACTGGAACTGGCCACTTGGGGTAACACAGCTCACGCCTTTCCCTCCAACTCCCATTATAATTTTGATCACTGAAATCTGGAAAGTTTTCTTGAGGTTTACAGGCAAGATTTCTTCCTTTAGGCCCATACCTTAAACTCAAATCACTCTGGCTCTCATTAGTTGGCCAAGCCCCATCTGGTCATTGTTTGTAACCTGACTGGCTCAAAGTGAATGTAAACAGCCAGTTGCTTCTGTTTTCACCAGAAACCCTGAGGTTCTTCCTCTTTTTTTACCTAGGTAAAAAAGGCCATTCTCTGCCTCATTTCTTACCTATCCTTAATCACTGAAAGGGCATTACCTCAGTCAAACTGGGAAAGACTTTAGCTTAAAAAAGCCAAGGTCTCCAACTGCATCTGGAGCCATCTCTAGTTGTCCTGATCTATGTGGCCACAGGACCCAGATGACTGGAGGATTAAGTGAGGGTGGTGGCTTTGCACAGCCCTTCCTCACTTAAATCCAATTCACTTGCACATCATGGCATCACCTCCCTGATGTCCTCTTCAAGAGTAAAGGACAAACAACAATTAAGGAAACAATCCCCCCAATTAATTGATTTGTCCAAGGTCACTTAGAGCTAGGATTTGATTCATCTTCAGACTCTAGATCCAACGCTTTTTCTGTACTAGATTTCTGTGCAAATTAACTGCTCTTAAGGAGATTACATTCTAATGGGGGTGAGGGACAAATATAATGCACATATATATCTCACGTCTACACACCCACACGGAAGATTCACAAAGGCAGGTGGTGGGATGTGTGCTGCGGGAAGGACAGTAAGTAGGCGAGCTGAGGGGAAAGGATGCAGGGAGATTCGTCCAGTCTTTTGACCTCAGCATCTGCACTAAGGTGATTATGCTATGAGACAGTATTGGGGCCTTTTCGCTACGGGGTGTGTGTGAAGATTGGATAGGCTCCCAGACAGCTGGGAAAAGGAAGGGTTTGGTAACAACTCGAATGACTGCATTAAGCCAGCTTGGAACAGTACAGCCTCATAAAGCAGCCCATCCTGTCTTGTTGCCCCATCGCTACGTTCACCCGCTTTCCTACACGAATTCCACGCACGGACCTGGTAGCTCAAACTACCTTACCCTAAACTCTTAAGTTTCCCTAGCAAAGTACATCTCGCCTCACGCACAGCACGAACCGGAAGCGAAGTGATCTAATTGCAGTGTACGTGCTCGGTAGTGGCCCCGCCCATCTGCTTCCGCTCAACGCGCGCGCCGATTGGCCAAACGGCGCAGATATAAGGCGCCACGCCGGCCTCCGGATCTTTCTCTTCAGTTGTCTGTAAGGTGCTGGGTTCTTCTTCGGAAGCTAAGGCCGCGTTGGGGTGACTCCTCACTTCATCCGGCGACTAGCACCACTACAAACAAGTCTCTCCTCATCCCTCTGCTGAAATGGCCGTCTCCGAGCTCGCTTGCATCTACTCTGCCCTCATTCTTCACGACGACGATGTTACAGTCACGGTGAGTGTTGGACGTGGTGGGGGGAGCCCGTAGGCCGGCGCTCCCATGCGCGGGTCGCCGGCCGCCTAAATCTGCGCGCCGTGTGTCCCGGCGGGACAGCCCCGAAGTTGGGACACGGCAGGGCCAGGTCAAGCCACGCTTTCGGCGGTCTCTTGACCCAGCGTGGCCCGGCCTGAAGAGGCGACTCCCTGCCACGTACTGTCCTTCAGAAGGCTCGGCCTGACGGACAGGTCCAACTGGGGCTGGAGTACGCGGCCCGCCTCGGCCTCCGGCCTCCTGGCGCTGGCGCTGGGGGAGGGGGAGCCTCTCCACCACGTGGCTGCTGCCTGCCCTCGGCTCGGCCGCCAACCGGGGATTCTGGCAGCGTTTCGAAGCTGGATTGATCTTAGTGTCAGTTGGTTTGCCAGCCGGGTTACATGGTCAGCATTTCTAAGGCCAGTCTGCAGGGCTTTCCCTCCCGTTTTAATAGAAACCGCGACAAAAATAGAGTGCAAGGTACAAGTTACTTTGTTTAGTGTATTTTGCTTTGCATTTATGTTGAAATGCGACTGACTTAATAGCCAGTCGGAGAGAGCTGGAGAGTAATTGTGGAGATATAAATGGTATGATTTAGAAACTGATTGGAGTTATGTAGGCAGAGAAGATCTGAAGACAATGTGAAGAGGTTACAAAAATTGGGAAGGTGATGAAATTTGGGAGGAGAGTTTTGGGGGTTTTTTTGTTTACGTGTTGAGTTTGACGTCCACAAAACTAAAATAAATTTAATCGTTGAACTTTCCAATGATATTTTGGATATTTGTAGCGTTTATACTCCTGAAGTTATTTATTAAAGCTTAAAACTGAATTTCTGAAAAATGTTGACGAGGCCTGGGAGGCCTCTGAATTGAAATAATTAGAAAGATGAAAGAAAGGGTGCTCTTGGAATTGGGGCGGGTGCAGCTGTAAGGTAATCCAACTATTTAGGTGAGAAATGAGGTTTTCTGAATTGAGCTCTCTCCTTCAATGGAGGTTTGAAAATTCATGGCTCCACCCTTCCATCTGAGGGACTGAGTGGTGATAGGTGGGGTATCAAGGTTGATGGGATTTGGTGGATGGTGAGTTCCTAATAATGAACTTCCTGGGGGTGGGTGGAAAAGTCAGGAGTTCCAAAGTAGTGCAGATGGGTGAGATGTTAACCCAGAAGAGAGTAGTGTCATGAAAATTCAAATTAGAGAGAATATCTGGGAGAGTGGGTAAACCTGTTAACTGTTGTATACAGTTATGTTTTAGCTTAACAGCAATGGGGTGCTACCAAACTTAGATTATTTGTTTAGGAGTTTGATCTGCATAAGTAGAGAAGTAACAGCACCAGTTCTGATGGAATCAGATCCGTTCTGGATAGAGGATGCAAGATCTTAATTTCTTTAAAAATTTTAGCACCATCATTTGTAATGGTAACTTCAGGCTTTTTCATTTTATCATTAAGTTACTGTTTCTGATCCCTTGTAGATTTATTTTCCTTTACATGAGAATTTGAGAGATCAGTTAATATTTGAAATCAAATCTAACATGTACGTGAATAAAACTGTGGTCCTATTCAGCAGTGTGGTGTTTTTTAATCTACTTTATACTCAGTTGCTTCTGAGCAGTCTATATGAAGTTTGTATGTATTGTTATTGAAAGAATATGAATTTCAACAGCATTTCATCTTTTGCAGGAGGATAAAATCAATGCCCTCATTAAAGCAGCAGGTGTAAATGTTGAACCATTCTGGCCAGTATTATTTGCAAAGGTAAGACAATTGTGGGTTGTATGGACATTGAAAAACACAGTTGCACAAAGCAGCATCCAAAGGACTGAAACACCTGAGTTTGAACTCTCATCTACTAGTTCTGTGACCATGAGCAAGTCATTGTGTGTCTTTGAGCCTCAGTTACTTCCTCTGGATAATAGAGATAACACGACTTGCAGTACTGATTTTGTAGAGTGGTTGAGAGTACCAAAACACCTAAAATTATACAAAAGGAATTAGATTGGGCATTAATTTCTAAGTTTCATTTCTCTCAGGTATAAAATGAGGGGGCTAAGACTAGATGACCTCCAAAGTACCTTCCAGTATCAAATATTGATAGGAATATTAAAGCGTAGAAGCAAACCTCCTCTTATGGCTCAGGATTCAAGACTGGGTTTCATCATGACATTGAATATCATCAAACGAGCTGTGCAGATTATTTATCTCTAACGTGGGATGTTAATTATAACTTGACTGTTTTGGGTTAGGGTGAAAATTTAACTGACTTAGTATTTGATAATGGTATGTTGGTTACAGGCCCTGTCCAATGTCAACATTGCAAGTCTCATCTGCAATGTTGGAGTGGGTGGACCTGCCCCAGCAGCTGGTGGTGCTGCCCCTGCTGGAGGGGCAGCTCCTGCTAGCACAGCTGCCCCAGGTAAGTATTCTTTTTTGCTTGAAAAACTGGGTTAGATCATAGGCTAGTTAATAGATTTGTTCAGGGGTGGGGATCCTGTGACTTAATAAAAGGAATTGTGTGAAATTTGGATTCAGTCAAGGGGCCACACTTAAGGACCTAGAGGGCCACATGTGGCCTTGAGGCCACAGCTTACCCAACCCTGGAGTTCATGGAATCAGTCGAACAGGCTGTTCCTTATTCATTATCCCAGAGGAAATAACTTATGTTATTTGACTGTTAGCCTTTGTGGAATGTCTTGCCTAAGATCTAGACTACTTTAGTATTGCAGTGGCAAACACTTTGGTTTAATAGCAACAAATGTGCAAACCCATTGGGTATATTTAACAAAAGCTAAATAGAGCTATTTTTTTTTAAAAACTTTGCAGTAGCAGACTTTAGCTTTGAAGTTAGGCTTTGGGAATGTGAAATTGTTTTTGTTTCTAAGGCTATAATATAGAGCAGAATTCAGCATTATTTGGAAATTCACTTAATTTTATGGCTATTTTTCCTACTTAGTCTATTCAGTTTTCAAATGTATAATTTTGATTCTTATCCCTTTTTAGCTGAGGAGAAGAAGAAAGAGGAAGCAAAAAAAGAAGAATCCGAGGAGTCTGATGATGACATGGGCTTTGGTCTGTTTGACTAAATATTTTTTGTAACATTAAATAAAATGCTTAACTCAACTAAAAATGTAGTTATTTTGCTAATTTTTAAGTGATCTCAGCAATGAGTAGTACATAATTGTTCTCATGCAGGAGAGGTAGACAGTGCTGGATGTGAATGAAAAAGCATTTGTTTACTATTTTTATAAAGTTTTAGTTTCTGTTGATAAAAAGAATATCTAGTTCTTGCTTTGAACCTTTGACAATGACTTTGCCAAGAACTTGGTTTTCTGGGCATTTAGCAGCTGCTTTTCTCTGCTCCGGGTGTAGGGTGTCCTGGACTTATTCCACTTGGACCTTGGTCCAGAGAGGGGATGATAGTATTTTGGCTTATCTTAGCATTTTCCAGTACTTCAGGGTTCCTTACTTCACTCAGAATGGCTTACTTGTCTTGGTGGTGGCAAGCAAAAATGGGGGGGGGGGCATTTCCACAAAGATTGCTTCTTTGGACTGTGATTGGAGAATGGGGCTGGGCTAATATCCCTGTGGCATCTAAGTGGTTGTAGACAAAGCTGGACCTGTTGTAGACAGGTCAGGAAGACCTGTGTTCAAATCTTTCCTCAGATATTTACTATGTGACATTACCCAGGAGTTACTGCAGCAATGGTAATTGAACCTTAGATTGTTGTATGGATCAATTGAGTTAATATAAAGTGCTTTTCAAAACTCAGGGCTGTATGTAAATATTTGCTGTTTTCACTGTCTACATATGATGCTTCTGGCTGTTTTGACTTTTGCTTCTTGGTGTGCTATTCTAAGGACTGACTTTCTTAAACTTAGATGATAATTGTACAGCTTTTCCTCATTCCCTAATCCTGGAAAGACTGTAGCTAGAAAGGGAAAGAAAACTGAATCATACAGTCATGAATTATCTAAGCTTGGAAGGCTTTCAGTGGTAAAATAAGTAAAGAGCAGGATTTTAACTGCTTCTGCAGTTAAAGTGACAAAAAGTGTATGATGATCATTTTCAGTCATCACTAGAAGCTGTTGCTCAGTTGTATACTAGGGTTTGGTGGATGTTAGGTAATGGAGTATGCAAGCATTTGCCTCCAGTTACTTAGGAGTAGAGGAATTGTCTCTGCTTTTACCGTGTACATAGAATTATTTTATACCTGAATGCATCTGTGATTATTGTGCAGCTCTCCAGGACTTCCCGTGAAACTCCCCACATTTGATCAACTAAAGATTTGTTCTTTATAGAATGTTCTGGACATTGTCCTTTTAATATAATCCAAATAAGTAGGCCTTAGATTATATGTACAGGAATTTATAGTTGTATAGTTGAATTCAGAAAATGGCTATATTTTTCCTGTTTATCTGTGTCTTCGTACTTTCATAAATGCAAGTTGATGCTTAAAATTGAACTTAAAACATTTTTGAGTTTTCCCTCGACTTTGACTAATAATTACATGATTTATATTTCCCTAAACCTATTTAGAATCAACTACTAAGCCATTCAGAAAATTTGCCTTCTGGTTTTTCATTTTGAGATTTCTGAGGATTAGCTGGCTCTCAGTTAAAGGTAACCATCCTGCTTGTGTCCTTGATTTAGTCTCTTTCATCAGTAATTTTTCCTATGTCTAGTTAATAATCTTGAGTTTTCCTTTCAAACACATTTTATATGGTCATCACTTCAGGCTGTCCTCTTTCCCATTAGATGTTATATAAAGAATTTATGTTCTTTGAGGAGTTAACCCCTAAATGGATAGATTTCACTGGAATCTCACTTTCCTCTAAATCTTCAACTTGCTGCTGGGTGTTTGTGCCTGAGTGTCTCACTAACACCTCAAACACTTGTGAAAATGATTGTTTTCTCAACTTAGCTCCCATTATCCTTGTTCAGAATCTTATTGGTTCTACTGGATTATTATAATATTTTAACTGGTCATCTTTCCAGTGTTTGTTTAACGTCCCTGCTCACCTCTCCCATCTCTGCTTTTGTGTGCACCATTCCTTTACCACCAACTGAAATTGTTATTTCAAGGCCCAGGTGAGTTACCAAATCCTGAAGCTTTTTAGTGATCTTAAAGTTTTCGTAGAGGACTTCTTTGTCTGGTCAGATGCTCTCTTGTAACATATTTGTAGGTGTTGCAGGCCACCCCACTTCCAACACCATTTTCCCATCAAGATTGTAAGTAATTTGGTTAGGGGGTCATTTTTAATTTTCCTGTATTTCAGTTCTGTATACTTAGATTCTTAGTTTGAATTGTGATTTCATTGGTGCTGAGAATTCCCTGATGGGGAAATACCCACACATTGATTATATTAATAAAGGATTGGTGCATAGGTGCTGAATAGAAATAAAGTCAAGAGATTGGACTTGCTTCTTAAACTAAGCTGTATGATCATAGGTAGGTCACTGCTTTGAGCCTTGTGAGAAAAACACTTTGTTAAGTGTTAAAAGTATGTATGCAAATGTAATAGTTTTTTTGTACTAGAGAATTGTTCATATAATAGAATAATATGTGAATATATAATGGAAAAATATTAGAAAGAGGAGGCAGACAACCTGGGTTTAGCTGTGATTGAAGCTGGCTGACCTGTTGAATTTGTTCTTATTCCTTGTAAGGATGAAATAGCCCATGAGCAACTCAGCATGAATCTCAACTCTTCTGGTCCAGGGCCTGCAACAAAGGAATCTTCTACCTGTTTTTGATGGATTGTAAAAGGACAGAAAGCTCTAGGCAGCTAGAAGGCATTAGGGAAAGGTAGAAAGTAGACCAACCTTTAGGCCCTTTACCTGTTTTAAGGGGCTTAGTAACAGCGTAAAATGAATACAATGTAATAATTGAACAGGACTGTTAATCCAGCAGGTCAGAGAGCCAGTTGATAAATAGAGGAATTGATACTGCAGGGACAAGTACCAGGAGCTGCTTTGGCACATGTAATATATGCCCTTCTACAACCCACATATGTAAAAAGGGTGATGTCCATTGGCATAAGCCAGTATGTTCCCTTCTAGGATTTAAATTAGGATTAAATTTTGAGGTAAATTTGGAAAACAGAACTGTAACCCAGTTTTAAAGTGGACCAGGTAACCTGCTTGTATTTGGAAGTTTTGTTTTCAGTGAAAAATGAGCATAAATGATCTAGTACAAGGAGAAAGCAGTAGCTCTGAGTTAAAATTTTGCTTTAAACATCACCTCTGAGGTCCACTACATTTATATATTTATGGTCCAAAAGGAAGGATAGTAAGCCAATACATATTTGCATTTGTTTTGATTTTGACCCCCAACTAAAAAATTCAGGTTCCTGCCCATTCATGGTTTGGAGATTATTCAGAATTCATATGCTAGGATACAGAGATCAAAGTCCCTCCTCAAGGAAGCTTCTATTCTTTTGGCAGTGGTGGTACAGTGTATGTATGTGTGTGTGTGTGTGTGTGTGTGTACACATATATATATATATATGTGTACACACACACACACCCACCTGCAATTTCAGGAAGGAAGCACTAAGGCCAGGAGGATAAGGAAGGGCTTCCCATGCAAAGGAGGTGGCACCTGGTGTGATTTTTGGAGGAAGCCTGGGATTCCTAAGGAGTTGGGGGGGAAAGAAAGGAATGAATTATAGACACGAGTGGACATTGCAAAAGCAGTCAGGAATGCTGACATTAGGAAATAGCTAGTAGGTCACTAAGCTGGAGCGGGGAGGAAAGCAAAGCAATATGAAAATTTCTATTAGGAAAGTACAAGGGAGCCAGATTGTGGGAAATTAAAATGCTAGATAGTCATTTTTTTATAGGGAACAACACTGCAGATTTTTATTTAAATAGGTTGATAAGTTTAGACCTGAGTTGTAGTAATAGTGTGGTACAGTTAACCTCAGTTAAGTATGTTGGGGTTCAGGCGGTTTTATTTTAATTGTAAACTACCAGTTTGGTGAGCTTAGGTAAATCACTTAATATCAGTGCCCCAGAAAACCAAGATAGAGAATACTTAATATTTATGGAGCTCACTGTAAAAGTTTTATCAGTGTAATCACAGGTCAGGATAAAAAAAGTAGGGCAGACATTGAAGATGGACTCCTGAGAAAGGGTCACTAACTGGGGAGTCAGAAGTTGATTGCTAGGATTAGGCTTCTTTTGAAGAAAAAATTCATTGTTTGCATCCAGCAAGATTCTTTTGCCTTGATGGAATTTAATTTGAATCTAAATTTCCATTAGGATTCCTAAACTTAACTATAGTGCTCATCTTTCTCACTCTAAAATTGTGTGATCTTTCTGCCACACAAGTATATGCTTCTAGGATTAGAGAGTGAGGAAAACAATGCTGTGGCTTCTAAATTTGTATTGAGGGCTAGAGGTTAAAGTGGTCACAAATATGAAAAAGAATAGGTTTGTGAGGCTTCCCACCTTTTCTGAAAGTCCTACACTGCTGTGAGATTGAAGTGCCTTAGTACCTTAAGAGCTATCACAGAGACCAACCACAGCAGAGTTTGCAACTATTTATTTGCTGTATTACAAGAGATAATTAGTCAAAAAGGCCAAAGCCCATGTCATCATCTGATTCTTCGGATTCCTCTTTCTTAACTTCCTCTTTCTTCTCTTCAGCTGAAAAGGAACAAGATGATGAGATGAATGCATGACTGTTTGAACTGAACTAAGAAGTAAATGTTTCTTGAATACTACTTCAAATACAGTGCAAGAAAGCAAGCACAGTTCTAAATCTCTAGGTATCATGGCACATAGTGAAAGTACAATGTCTTTTTGCTTACTTGTGGCCTTAGTTCTTCTACCCAATACTAGTAAAGCATGTCATCCAGGATGAGATATAATCTACTCAGGAGTGACCTGGCCTGTATGTACATCCCCCTAATGCTCAACAAATCTTATCAACTGTTTTATGGTGACCACATCTAGTTCAGAGATCAAAGAAAGGATGCTTACCAGGGGCAGCACCAGCTGCCGGGGCAGTACCCCCAGTAGGAGCAGCACCAGCTGCTGGGGCAGCTCCACCAACTCCAACATTGCAGATGAGACTTCCGATGTCAATGTTGGCCAGGGCCTACAACCACACATAACCAGCAATTAAATATTGGCTCTTCAGCTAATTTTGCGTTTATGGGCTGCTTGGTTCAGCTGTCTTCATTTTCAGAGGACAAAACAGAGACTTGGGTATTCTAGAAACAGGGTAATGAAAAGATGGGTGAAATGTATTGACCATGAGAGCTACCTTAGAAAAGAGAATGACTTCAAATATGTTCCCTACTTGCTTGGTTTTGATTCTGCAGGACATTCAGAACAATATAGAATCTTGTGCTTTTCTTAGTATAAAACAAGCTTGTCACCCTGACATCAATATCAAGTACTGGCATTGTACAATGAATGACTCTGTTCCTTATGTAATCTGATAGGCTAAGGCTGTCTTACCTTTGCAAATAGACTAGGCCAGAAAGGTTCAACATTTACACCTGCTGCTTTGATGAGGGCATTGATTTTATCCTCCTGAAACAAAGCAATAAAATGCTATTTAGAAGTCACTTTGCTGATAACAATGGCATATAAGCTTTCCAGAACACACCCACTATTAGATACTATACACTGATAAATTTTATTGGGTCTAAAGATGCTGTCAAATAGCACTTCAAAGTTGACAAAAGTACTGTTCACAATCCAACAAGCATTTATTAATCATTGCTAGGGACTCCAAAATAAAATGAGTATCTGTCTTTGCCCTCAAAACAGCATGATATGGTAGAAAGATCTGGAATTATTTGGAACCTGGGTCCAAATCCTGCCTCTAATATTCACTAATGATGATAGCTAGCATTTATATTGTGTCTACAAATACCAGGTACCTTACAACCCTGTGAGCTAAGTGCTACCTGCTTTATTTCCATTTTTACAGCTGAGGAAACCGAAGCAAACTGATCACATGAACTGCCTAAGGTCAGGTTGCTAGTGTCTCTTGTGCTCTAGTAAAAGCAATAGCTAGCTCTTATACAGTGCCTTAAGATTTGCAAAGTGATTTATATGAGTTTTACCTCATTTGGTCCTTAAAATTCTTGTGAAAGTAGGTATTTTTATTATCCCCACTTTAAAGATATAGATGAGAAATGAGTAGCTTGGGGTCACACACTGTCCCATTCCACCATCTATTGTCTTTTTGGCACCGAGTTTCCTTATCTGTTAATTGAGGAAGTTGAAAGGAAGGGAAGGACAGGCATATTTATGCATGGGTTACCTCTGAACTTACTTCCTACTAGGTCTATGGAACTTGTAGTCTACTTGGGCTGAGTAGACCTGAGTTCAAATCCAGCCTCTGACACTTAGTAGCTCTGACCCGGGCAAGTCACTCAGTCGCTTCCTGCCTCAGTTTCCTCATCTGTAAAATGGGGACAACGATTTAGATGATATAGCCCCCTCCCTCCCAGGATAAAATGAGAACGCTGGTAAAGCCCTGACACCTACTATAGAAAGGCTAGCTAGCATTGCAGTTAATTACCCATTACCACCATTACTTGCAGCTCCTGGATGGAGGCGGGCCTCGGATACCAGGCGGTGGGAGGGGAGCATCGCTCCTGAAGCCTGCGCCGAGCAGGCGTTAACGCGGGGGATGGGGAGCGGCTTTGGGGCCCCTCACCTCTTCTTTTACCCACTGCCCCCCGGCCGTGACCTTGTCCGTCCTGCGTCACGCTCCAGGAAAGAGACCCCAAACCCAGGCTGGATCCCGAGGCCTGGAGGTCCGGGGCCCCACCCCCTCCCGCACAGTGAAGGAAACTGAGGCCCACGCAGCTGACCGGTGCCGGGTCACCGGAGAGGCTGCCGGGGGTCAGGGTCGGGATTTGAATCCAGATCCTCTGATTTCAAGGCTGCGCTCTGCTCCCAAGGCGACCTTGCCGGGAGAATGCAGAGCGCCCCGCACCCCTCAGCTCAGTCCCCCGCGGCCGGCCAGGGCCAGACCCGACCCCTCTGCTCACCGTGACCGTGACCTCATCGTCGTGCAGGATGAGGGCCGAGTAGATGCAGGCGAGCTCCGAGACGGAGGCCATTTCTGGGGCTGCCTTGCCTGGTGCTAGCCGCCGGCTGAAGCGAGCCTCAGCCTCACCCCAACGCGGCCTTAGCTTCCTGGGAAGGACCGAGCACCTTACAGGCAAACGGCGAGGCGGGGCGAGGCTGGGCGGGGCAAAGCGGCGTGGCGCCTGCGCAGACGCACCGCACAGAGGGGCGCGCCGCTGGCCCTGAGGCCAATCGGCGCCCCGCGGCCCAATCAGCTCCCAGATCCGGGCGGAAAGGGCGGGGCGGGTGCCCCCCCGCCCCGGGACCCTCAAGGGCCCTCGGGCTGCTGTCTTAGCGGCGGACCCTCGCCTTGCACTGCGCATGGGTAGCCGCTAGGAGGCGGTGCTCCCTACCGTTTCGTGCTCTGCACGTTAGACGATCTGACAAAGAGAACCGTAATCTCTAAAAGAAAAAAAATTTATCTGTCTATACGCCTGTCTGTCTGTCTGTCTATCCATCTGTATTTCCTCATTGCTGTCTTCAGACGCAAATCATAATAATTAGAGCTGGTCGGTCTACTGCCTTTTATTCAGGGGGCCTTTAGGAGCCACACTCCCATCGCAGGCAGGCGGCTGGTACCAGACGCGAGAATTCCCCCCGCAGGCGGTCGCAGCGATTTCCTGCCTAGTTCGCCCAGGACAGAGCCCGCCCTCTGCGGAGAGCACTGCGGACTGCTCCCCTGCTTCCCTTTTCTGATCCTCCTTAACTCACTGTTTCTCTCTTCCCACCATTTCTTCAGTCAGCTATCTGAAGTCTCTAGGTTTTGGAGAGTAATGCCTGTGGGCATCCAGAGTAAAATCAAACAGAAGGAAAAGGCCAATCCCAGGCGTGCAACAAAAGAGGAATACTGCATAATGCAGCATAGAGCCCTGGCTCTGGAATCAGGACCTGGGTTCACAAAACTGACAAGTGAGCTCGGGCAAGTCACTTAATCTGCTTCTCATCCTCTGTGAAATGTACTAGATGGGCTCTGAGGATCTATGATCCTGTGAGTGGACTAGCAGGAGAATAGTAAGGGCTGGAGAGGGGTGGGGGGGAATGCACACAGAAAGGATCCGTCGATAGAGGTCAAGAGAAATCAACCGAGACATCACATCACCTGTGTAAGTGCCACACAGCCGGGCTCTTAGAACTATTTTCTGGGAAGTTTTGGGCGCTGACAGCTTCTGTTTCTTTGTGTAGGTCAATCTAAATAGAAGCAGCCTGGTATGTTTGAACCAGGTATATCTGCGTTCAAGTCCTGCCTCTGACGTTTACTGACTCTCAGTGTTCTAGATAAGTCTCTAAGATTATAAATTGCAGGAAAGGTGCTGATCTTCGTTGGTTGAAGGAGTTTCCCCATTAAGGGAGTTCCTTTTATCAATGATACCATAGGTTTAGTCCCTATTCAATTCCCTATATAAGTATCCTAGAACTCAGAGTCCTAGAGATCAGGAATCCCAGGGGAATAGCTAGAAGGCTATAGAGGCTTCTTCTTTCAAGACCACAGACTGTGGACCATCCCCGCAGGGAAATGTTTGGTCCCAATCATGAATGTGAATGAGATGAACTTGTGTGTAAAATGGAAGAGGACAGCAGAGCGGATTAGAAAATAGAATCCAACATGTGTTTACCAGAAACATACTTGAAACATAATGATTCACACAGTTAAAATAAGGGGCTGTATCAGGAGTTATTCTTCAGGTGAACTCAGATACATAGCAATCATGATCTCAGACAAGATAATAATAAAAAAAAACATTCCTAAAGAGATAAACAGGGAAACTACTTTTTTTTTGTCACCAAAGATGGCAAACTAATATCAATATAGGTGTACCAAATGGAGTAAAATCTAAAAAATGGAAAGTCAGTCAGGAAGAAATGAACAGTAAAACTACAAAGATGGATAAAGACTTCAATGTACTGCTATCACATTTAGACAAACTAACAAAAAGATAAACAGAAAAGAGATTAAGGACCTGAATAGAATTTTGGAAAAGTTAGATAGAATAGCAATTATTAGCAGTTACTAAAGAATAATAGAAAGGAGTATACATACATACATATACATATATGTAGATAGATAGATATCTCGATGGTGAATTGTAAAGGTTCACCTTTGCAGAAATTGACCATGGGCATAAAAATCTTTCAGATTCAGAGTACAGAAATATTTAATACATTCTTCACTGACCATAGCAAAATAACAATTATGTACAATAAACCTTGGAAGAAAGGATTAAAAATTAGACACTAAATAATTTAATCCCAAATAATAAAAAAATCATAGAAACTATATAATTTCATCAGATAAAATTACAATAATGAGACAATATACAAAAAAATTTTGGATGCAACCAATGCAATCTTCATGGGAAAATTTATGTCACTAAACATCTAGGTTAAGTGACTTGCCCAGGGTCACATAGTAAGTATCAAGTGTTGGAGGCTGCATTTGAACTCAGGTCCTTCTGACTCTAAGGCTTTTTGACTCCACTGTGCCACCTAGTAAACATCCTTTTCAAGAAAAGAGAAAGAACAGATCAATGAACTGGATATGCAACAACAACAACAAAAATCATAGAAAAGCAACATATCCAAACCTTCAACTGAATGCCAAAATAGAAATCTTGAAAACTGAAGAGATTGGAAAGTTGAAAGAAAAAAACCCTATTAATTGATAAAACCAGGAGCTTAAAAAAACAACCTGACAAATTAAGTAAGTGGCTAATTTGACTTTTGGAAAGAGAGGAAAACCAAGTTGCCAGTATCAAAAATAAAAAATAGAAGAATTAATAACAAATGCATACAGATGAAAAATATTAAATATAATATTAGCAATGAAGCTATGACAGCATAATAAAAATTATATACTATGACCAGGTTAAATTTATGTCAGGAATGAAGGGTTGGTTCAACATAAGGAAAACTACAAACATTAAACCATATTAAGATTAAAAAAAACAATAAAATTATTTGATACAGAGGAAAGTAAGAATCAGGAGAACTATATACAAAATACCCACATTTTTGTAAGGAGGAATAACTTTGAAAGGCTTAAGAAACTTGATCAGTAAAATGACTGATGACGAAAAATGTTCTGCACCTACTAATAGAAAGCTGATGGTCTCAAGGTGCAGAATGAGACATTTCCAAACATAGCCAGTATATGTATTTGTTTTGCTTAATTGCGCATTTATTATGTGGTCTGGTTTTTGTGTGTGTGTGTGAGTTTGTCACATTGTAGGAAGAGTTGGGAGGAGGGGATTAACAATATGATTGCTTAAAAAAAGGTAATTTAAGAAGACCTGAAATAAAAAAAGAAATTCAGAGAGAAACAGAGAAGCAGGATAGTTTTGAAAGTCACATTTTTAATTTATTATGTACTAAAAAGAAAAAACCTATACATAATAGAAATTCATGACAAGTCTAACACAAATTATACAGCTTCCTTATGGTTCCCTTCAAACGATATGATATGCTGAAAGATTTTTTAAAGTATTAAATGAAAGAAAATCTTTACAATGAACTTTCAGATCACCTAGACCAGCAGTAAAGAATTTCTACCAGGGAAGAGGCTATTATTTTTTCAAATTTAAAACATTTAGGGAGAGAACTTCATAATAGGAATTCCTAAGCTGATTTATATTTTGGGAAATTCATTAAAAGTGCATGTTGTTAGGAGACAGAATTAGGAGAAAAGGGATGGGGGGGGAATTTCAGAGAGGTAAATTTAAGTTAAATGCAGGGGAAACTTCCTAACAATTGAGCAGATATCTTTAACCTGAGGTCCATCAACTTGTTTTTGTAAGTATTTTAACAACTGTATTTCAACATAACTTATTTGCTTCATGATCCTATGTATTTTATTTTATACATTTAAAAACTTTGGTCTGAGAAGGAATCCATAGTCCTTACCAGACTGCCAAAGGGGTCTGTGGTACAAGAACAGTTAAGAATCACCACCTTTGGAGGTACCGTGCTCCCCTTTGTCAGAAGTCTTTGAAGGATCGTTAAATGTCCCTTTGTCAGAGCTCATTTATCTAGAGCTGGAATGAAGCTAAAATGCCATCTGGTTCATCCACCTTCCCCCAGTTTTACAGATGCTGAAATTGAGGTCCAGAGAGGTTAAGGCCTTTGCTCAAGGTCACACAGGAATTCAGTGCCAGAGGTGAGGTTTGAATCCAGGTCTTCTGACTCCGCTTAGAGCCAGTGTTCTCTCTACTGTTCCTCCCTGGATGTTGTAGGTGTTCTTGGTCAGGTCCACCTTGGACCAAATAGTCTTAAAGGTTCCTGCCAAATCTGAGATTCTGTGAACATCATGGAAAGGGCTTTTTTAGGCACTCTATCACTCCACTGAATTGAGAAATCTAAATCTCTTTGACAAAGGAAGTTTTAAATCCAAGAATTCCTTTTCTTCTGGGTGATTCTGGCTTTGTGCTGCCCTCCTGTGGCAAGTCTTTGGAATGATGAGTTAAGTTGCCGGTCCTCTCTATGACTGAAGATCCTTAAATTGTTAGGGCAAATTTAATGAAGGAATATAGTGTTGTCTGTAGTGCCTAGACAGATGGGTCGGGTGAGCCGAGGATAATGAAGGCTGTATCCCAGGTACATGTATATGATAAGATTATGAATCTCTGAGTTGGTAAGGAAGTATGAAGTATTGCTTAAGAATTGACAAGGGATCAATAGTAGGTACTGAGAGAGACACAGGAAGAGCTTAAAGGGAGATCAGAACTATCTCCAGATGGGATGGGCTGCTTTGGGATGCAGTGGGTTCCCTTGTACTGGAGGTCTTCAAGTGGAAGCTGGAAATAGGAGTGGGGGGGACCTGCTGGCAATGGTGCAGCAGGGATTCGTGTTGGGTCAGACTAGTTGACCTCTAAGGGAGCCCAATGACTCTCATATTGTACCTAAGTGACAGTAGAACCTGATTGTCCAGGCCGAAATCATGCCTACCAAAAGCACTCATCTGGGACCATGAGGCATAGGGGCTTTATGAATAGGTCCAGGAACACGTCTTCCTGCATAGATCATGTCTCTTCTTTGCCTTAGTATGTACTCTTGGAGAATTGCTGTGGCTGGAAAAATTCATCACCCGGCGATGTTCCTTTCTGAATTCAGAAAGCATTTTCTTGGGTGATAGATGTACAGGGCA